CACCCTTCTCCCATGGGTGGCACTTTGCAATGTAATAAGATGCCTGCACTCCAAGCTATCCAAGCATCTCTTTAAATATTATTACATTCCTCCACAACACTGTCTAATTCTTCTTGCATAACTCTCAGTTTTGCCTTAAGGAATCTGATTGTAGCTTCTACAATTGCAAAAAAGTGTATTGATATTATTAGAGACACTAAGATAATCCAGTGGCTAAAGGTTAATTTTGTAAAACCAATTATAACATACATCATAACTCAGCTCATAGGAACCGAGTTCTTGGCCTTTATCTGCTGTATTGGTGGCCATTTCAAAAGTTTCTAGTTAAAGAAGTTTCTAGTTAAATAAGCCCTAATGCCGCTAAAACAGCTAAAATCAGTGGTAAAAGTAACCACAAAAACAAATTTAAAACAAGTATTGATTACTCATGATCCCATGATCTCCCAAACTTGAAAATTGTGTCCAAAGTTATGGTATACATTATTGTTTCTACTGAGAAAATTTGTCTAAACAGCACCCCTTGCTCTTAAAATGAAATATCAAGATGGCTCATTTGTTAATGGTCTGCACAGAAAGACAAAAAAAATAATAAGGAAGAAATTTATCTAAATTCTACCTCCATGTGTAAGGTGAACACATTGTTTACCTGATCCCATCTCCTCAGCACCAACTGGCAAAACACTGTTGTCAGTTGTAGTTGAAGTATAATTATTGTCTTGGGCTTCATTCTCCAGCGTGCTGATTGTGTTTGCCAGAGTTATCCTATCCTGAAGCATATCAATTAGGTCATCCGAGGGTACAGGAGTGTGAGGTACACTTCCAGGTGCTGATGCTGTTTTAGATTTTGGCCTAAGGTAGAGATACAAAAGAGAAATTATTGTTCGTAAAGTTTTATTGCTAAATATTCTACTAAAAGTACATTTGTGAAATTGCTTGCTGATCAGCAGGTTGATGTAATTTCAACTTAACAGGCATGACTTCTTAAATGTACCTTTATTTGTCCAATATCATCAAACAATTTTATGACTTATGTGCCAATTGAAAACATCTGAGGTGGCAAAATATAAACACTACATAGAGTGTACAATTTGGTAGTTTCCTTCCAATCTTACTGTGTGTAAAGAAAACTTTAAACTATTGAATTTAGGTATGTTGTTCAAAACCATACCAGCCATTGTGAAATTTAGGTATCAAAAATCTGTCTGCAGCTTTGATACTGTTAAAAGTTGATTATCAAGCATAGTGTGATT